CAAATTGTGGATAATAAATAATATTTTGTTTTTAGGGGCATATATATTATTTATTAACATGCATTTGAATATGAAATTAATGATAGTACATGCAGATTATTATAGCTAAATATATGATCGAATAATATTTTGACATTAAGGTTCATAAGTAGTGCTTTCATAAAACTTATAGTTTTGTAATCTGAACTCATTTAAGAATGATATTCCCCCCTCCTGACATGATATATCATTCATAATGGTGTGTTCGACATCAAAACCAAAAATTCAAAAAATTATATTCAAATTTTCCCAAAAATATAATTGTGATTGATTTGCGTACCACCCAATAAAAATATTTTTTTTGGCATCTCCATTGGGGAGTTAACTCTCTCCATCTTTAATAATGGTATAAATCTCATTACATCGGTAGTTAAAACAACTTTCCTTCTATTGGTCCCTCTACCTATTTCTTTCTTTGGTAAGAAAAACCAACATAAAAATAATCGCAAGAGAGGTGAGTGAGGGAATGTTCATTAAAAATAAGCTTTAACATCTCACCCCAAGTCAATTGGTAGAATTAGAGAGTTAAGCCAATTCCCCTAAAAAAAAAAAAAAAGCCAATTCCCCTTGATTTTCCATATCAATTTCATAAACCTCGTGTTGGGTGAAAGCCCAACATATTGAGTTCTATGATTTAAATGAAAATTAACTAAATTCAAATATTTAAATTCTATCTAAAAATAATAAAGAAGATGAAAATAACTCATTCTCTCATCTACCTCTAGCCCTCCAAACTTCTTCCCTTGCTTCTCTAGATCTCCCTCAATCTTCTTAAAGTTTTTCCCCACCATTCCATAGCCTCCAAATTCCCCTTTGGTGAATAGAGAGAGAAAGATGAGATTTGGAGTTAACTTTCAATTAAGCTAGAATCAGCTCTTGATGTGTTCTACAAAGTTGAAGATAACTTCTTCGGGAGAAAAAGAAGCCTTCTTACTCACAACTCCATCCACTGGTTGGTAAGATATTAACATTTTAAGTGAAATTTTTAGTTTAAAATTGCTCTAAACCCTCAATGCATGGAGTCTCCAAACTCCAGGCATTGAAGGATTATGATACTGAGAGCTTAAGTTTAAATTTTGTTAAATTTGGGGAAGCATTTTGAAAGTTATGAGCAATCCAAGTTTTAGTTCAATTTGAACTAAAATAATTCTTCTAACCTGAGCCTTCAATTCATCTAATCAAATGGAATAAATCAGAACCACGGGCGTGATGGCTTTAGGGTTCGAATGCAGGTTCTTCAGTGAAATGGCATGGACAATGAGGCAACTTCAAGATGCTCTGATCCAACCATGCTATATTAGATGGGTCGCATGCATTACCTACATGGATAACTGGCATGCCAAGGCTTGATACGTGCCTTCCATGCATCAAACGGTGGTGGCAGTCTAATCAGTGTAAATAATGTTATGTTTTATATGTCAAATTGTGAGTGAAACAATTTAGATTTAGTTATGTTTGTGAATGAAAATGTAGAAATGCACAAAAATTTAAAGTATGATACAACTCCATGGTGTTGGCCACTACACCGTTGTGATACCATCATTGACATTGCCAAAAAATCAAATATGGAAATGGTGGCACCTAGTCACTGTTTAACAACATAACAACATCAGAGAAGTTAGCACTATAAAGCTCAGTCTTTGTCTGCACATCATCATGTGCTAATTTATAATTCCACTACGCCAAGGGGAGTGCCATGTTGATGCCACAATTCTACCCCGTCAACATCACCACAGCGCTACAGTTGCAACGGCTTAGGACAAGATATGCTAGTGAAACAATGCATCTATTCATTAAATAATGGGTCAACCTATGCAAGCACTGCAATGGAGGAAAAAATTTAGCACTTTGTCATTAATTTATTTTATGGACTTCACTGCGTAAGTGTCTTGAGCACCGTAGTATTATAATCCATTTTCTGTGTTTTTCTATAAATAAACAATTTGTAATGTTAGTAAAAGAATTCAGTAACATAGTTAATTTTAGTCTTCACTGTGCTTCTCTATAATTTCTTGAGTGACAACTGAGGGAATTCAGGGAGCTATAGATCCACTTCATAAGAGTGTTTAGTCAATGTTTATGAAAGATATGTTGTAAGTTAAAGGGGTGTAGAGGAGATCATTGAACCCATCTGGTCATGCAAGCACTAGAGATTCTCTAAAAAAATCTTATAAAGTACCCAAGATATTGAAGAGAGATTGCGTACACATCCTTTTGAGGTGAGTTTTAAGCCTTACATATTGAGTATTTTGAAAGTGTATGACTGATTTACAAGATTTACAAGATTTTTATTACAATAATTTAGTAGTTTCATTATTACATGATGATAATAAAATAGTTTGAAGACCTGAAGGCTGTGAATTTAATGAGTTTATAATAAACTACTACATTATGATGATAATAAAATAGTTTGAAGACCTGAAGTCTAATTCCTCTAATGTTTGTTGTTGAGCATAGAGAGATATTATTTAATTAAGTTTTTGAGAGATCAGTGCAATCTCAAATCTTTTGTGGTTTAAGAAGGTATGGATTAGCTGGTGAGCCACAAAAGTTTATCTCATACTTGGAGTAGTAGAATTGGGTGTGGAGTTTCTCCATCACCCATTAAGAAGAGGTTCTTTTAGGCTAGTGGTGGCTGAAAAAGTGAGTAGTAAATCTTTATGTTGGAGATCTCAATATGCAAGCAAAGGTGTTATTGCCAAAAAAAAAAACAAAAAAATTGGATCGTGTCACCTTGTTCTATTTACTTTATGCAACATCTTTACTCTTTATCATAGTTTACTTCTTGCACTATGAATGACCATTTTAATGATCATAATGTTATCTCTTATTTATGAGTATTTATATTTCATGTTACTTGTATTATGTAGCAATCAATCCATTACTAAATTACTAGTCTCGGTCAACGTAATATTCAGAGACAACTTAAATTTTAAGGGGTTTTTGGTTGGTTAAAAAAGGACTTGGACTTTTTCGAAGCATAAGGAATTTTTTAAGGGGTTTTTGGTTGGTTAAAAAAGAAATGCAGTGTAAAAGAAATGTAAAGTAAAAAGAATACAGTGTAAAAGTAATACTTGGATGAGTTTAAGAAAATTCAGTTGAATATTTTTTTTTGTTTAACTCGAAGTCAAATTAATGTAGTGTAAAATATAAATATGGTGGCAGGTGATGGGTGGCGGGTTGTGTTGGAAGGTGGCAAAGGGTGGCGACTATTGGTGGTGGCAGGTGGTGGATTGTGGCAGCCTGTGGAAGAGATCAAGCTAGCTTACTTGAAGTGTAAACATTTCTCTCTCAAAATTGGGCGAGTACTATTTACCTCAAAAATGACCTAAATTATTTTATACTATATTGATTATATTTTACTTGGCCTTTTTTATTCACCCAACCAAACACTAAATTTTTGAAAACGGTTGCATTTACTTTACTTTACTCCCATTGTACTTCCAACCAAATAACCCCTAAATGAAATCAATTTTGTTGGAAGTAGAAATGGTGGCATGTACGGTGACAAGACTTCTATTTGCTTTGACGAATTCAATTAGAAAAATATTGCTCAGTTGCCTGGAAATTTTGCTCAATTAATTTTTTTTCTTTTAGTGTTAGAGGCAACCCTAGAACTGTAGTTTTCTCTACTAAATATAATGAAAAAATTAAAGTGAAAAAAAAAATATATAACGATAAAATTGCATATAATAATTTGCATTTTAATTAAATAAAGTCAAAATTTTAATCCTGGTTTTTTTTTTTTTTTCATGAAAGTCTATTTATGATTGTTTGATTCTCCTCATAGAATGATCAAAATAAGATGCTCGCTAGTTTCAAAATAAGAATAATTAATTGTAAATAAATTGATTGTTATTGTAATTTATCTTAGAGGAAATTTATAATGAGCCATGGAACTCTATGATATAGCAACCTCATAAATAATAAAAATTAGAGAATTGGAGACTATTAAATGTCTTTAATTGCTTGAGCACTTTCTCCATAACTTTGTTTAATGATTGCATATTTTGTACTGCGAAAATTGGGGTTCAAATGATTCAAGTTGAGCTGAACATCAACTTAATTGTGCTAAGTTTGTTTATTCTTAATGAGCTCAAGGTTGGGTCGTTAAAAAATTTAAAGTCTTGAGCTTGGCTCAATTGTGGGAGCTTATTTAGAAAGCTCAGGTTTGACTTGATTGCTGAGCTCAATTTCTTAGGTTTAAACAAAAAATTTTTAGTTTTTGTAAGAGTTCTTATTTTTAATATAGAATTAATTTAAAAAAGTTAAAATGTATTATTTATTGCAATTTAAATTAATTTTTAAATATATTTTAAGCTAATTGAGGAGCTCAATGAGCTTACAAGCTGAGTCGGGCTAAGTTCAAGCTTGAGCTCATTTAATACACAAACTCAGGTATAGGCTCTAACTAAAACTCATAGCTCAGTAAACTCAACTCATAAGTTTGTTAACTAGTCATGCTCAAGCCGACTCCACTCACCTACATGAATGCAATTTTAAAGCTCTTTAAAACAAAGCCCAAGTGTTTAATTTACAACTTTCTTACCGCTTTGTTTTTTTTTTTCCAGAATGCAGTAATAGTTTCTATTTGTCTACTATATTTTCATTGATTTGAAGAAATTCATGTGTGAGGGAGCTGCTTTTTACAACAACTTTTTAAAAAAATTATTTCTTCCGCATCAACTTTCAACCACCTTTAAAATGCTTAACCATTTTAGACATACCTGATACCCCTATCCTTTAAATTTAAGCAAGTTATGCATTTGATCCTTGCATCCAAAAAACCTCTAAACAACTTAATTTAAATTTTATACATCCTAGCATATATTTGTTATCATGAAAGGAAGCACATCATCTCATTAGCACATGTGGCCAACATATACTATCCCTCAGTACCTTAAAGATATCTAAATAAAATCGAAGAGATATATTACTTGATTGATATCATCAATAAGAAATTTATTAAAAAATCTACATAAATTTTGTTCATCCAAATAAAATGTTTTAAAATAGATTTAGGAACAAATAAATATAATAACATCACATAAGGATTCAATAGACCTATATACTAAACTAATTATTAATCAATCCTCCAAAATTTCCTCATGATTGGTTGAGATACAGACCTCCAAAATCCTTTCATGATTGGTTGAGACATTAACATTGCTCGGTTGATCAGAAGGAACAAAAGGGGTTGGGGGCATCTCCAAACTCTGAAAGTTTGTTGTGAGCATTTGAACAACTTTATTCATTGATGGACGCTCTGCTGGATTCCATTGTATGCACCAAAGTGCTATGATTGCAAGCCTTTTCATAATTTCTTCATTTCCTTCCATTTCCATAGCTAATCCTAGACTGTTGTTATTGACCAACTTATTATATATCCACTCTGGAAAATAAATTTCACTGAGGTTCTCAATTGTAGGATCAATATTTTTCCTCCTTCCAATCATTTCTAACAAAAGCATTCCATAACTATATACATCAGACTTATGAGAGACTGGCCCAAAGTTTCTTGAGTAAACTTCTGGTGCTATGTATCCCATAGTGCCTCTTGCAGCACTTATTGTAACAATGCTTTCATCTCTAGAGCAGAGCTTAGCAAGGCCAAAATCTGAAATTTTTGGATTGAAGTCATAATCTAACAAAATATTATGGGGTTTGATGTCAAAGTGAAGAATTCTTTGATTGCATCCTTGGTGCAAATGATTGATCCCTTGGGCAATGCCAATTGCAATCTCCTGTAACTTCTCCATGTTGAAAAATTCATGTCTCTTCTTTGATTCACCAAAGAAAATAAACTTTTCCAATGAGTTATTTGGCATGAACTCATATACTAGGGCTCTGTTAGTTCCATCTGAACAGAACCCTAAAAGACGAACTACATTGACATGGTGAATTTTTCCTATAGTGGCTACTTCATTGACAAAATCATCTCCATTGGATTTTGATGCTTCTAGCAATTTAACTGCCACAGGAATTCCATTAGTCAGCTCACCTTTGTAGACACTTCCAAATCCTCCTTGACCCAACTTATGCTTAAATTTCTTTGTTATTTTCTTAATATTAGAGAAATTGTATCGAGTTAGTGTTGTGGATTTGTAGGTTGCAAGGAACTTTTCCACCTTTATGCGCTTCTGTTTTTCATTGTTATATTTTTTGAAAAAGTAGAGAACCACAAGAACTGCAATCAGAAAAACCACAAGAGATGTACCAATGGCAACGCCTGCAAGAAAGGAAATTTTAGCATTCATTAAGGCAACTTTCCTATTTATCAGCACCACCATTCCAAAATTTTACTTGTCAGACAAATAACCCTTTCAAACGAAATTTAGGTTGGAAGTCCAGGAAAAACTGAAAATAAATGGTGAGATTGCTCCATATACCTTCAAGAATAAGATGTAAACCTGGGAAAAATATATATGGACAAAAAATCAGTTTGTTATGCCACAATCAATAAAAGTAAATATAAATTTGAAGATAAGGGTAATAAAACATGATTGTAAGTTTATTTTCTTTGTTATGACAGAAAAGAAAATTTTCCCTGAAAATATCTGACCTAACCTCCAAAATGACATTGTATTTGAAATTTCTCCATGTAGTCTGCCAACTCTAATTCATTGCTAATTATTTTTTCCACAGATGTTTTATTAAGTTGAAATCAATTTTCTATTCCTGATATGAAGCTTGATGAGATTCTGTTTGGATGCCAAATATTTACTTACTGAGGTCTAAGGATTACTAAGAAATGAGAGAACAGAGTGTAAAAAAAAGATATGAAGCTTTATGAGGTTCTGTTTGGATGCCAAATATTTATCTATTGAGAAGATCTACTAACTATTGTAAACTTTAATGAGTTTTTTGGTGTGGCTGCTGAAATTTTTTAATCTATTGCTTGAAATCATGGTGGCCGGAATTTCTTAGGCCAGTGAGCAAAAGAATGCGCTGAAAATTATATCAATTTCAGTCTACGAGTAAGAGTGTACCTTTGTTGAAAGCGCTGGAATCAAATATGTTCGTGACAATACAAAAATATCACTAATAATAAGGATGACTAAGAAATAATAAGGATGACTAAGATATAAGAGAATAGAGAGAGAAAGAGAGTTTAAAGAGCTTTGAGATTTCTTGTTGTCAAAGTACAAGTCTTGGGATAACCATCTCTCTTTGATTTCTCTTTTTTCTTATATCTAGTGCGTAATAGAGATATGGCTAAAAATTTTATCATTAAACTAAAAAAACAGGATTTGTCGTTGCTTATTTTCTTAAACATATCAACTATATAAAAAATGAGAAGTTTATAATATTAATTCTTTACAAAAAAAAACAGAACAGAACAGAAAAGAAAAGATGCAACTCATCTCTCGACGCAAAAAACATAAAACAGAAGATTCAGATAGATGGGAACTCACCATGGTGAGAATCTTGTAGAATACAAAAACTTGTATCTCTTCTGATATTATATCCACATTTATTTTCTTCAACGAAACAATCTGAACAGGGCATAGCTTCGGCAATCACAGACAAAGAAGCCGTTTGTCCTTGCAGGCTCTTTGGCGCTATAGCTTGTATCGATTGACCAGAATAATTAGAAAGAACTTCACCGGTATATATTACGATGCATGAAGGAGGAAGTATGTCTATTCTCTCATATACATTCATAGCATAAACAAAAGAATCTACTTCACTGAGGCAAGAGATTGGCCCAACTACACCTTCATTGTCAGCTTGCAAGCTTATCTTGGTTGTGCAGTTCACTAGAACAAAACGTGATACAGCTACATGAAAAACAGAGCCGTTGACGTTTGGCCGTTTTTGGGTACCTTTTTTCCATGGGCAACTAATGGAAGATGTTGATAGAAGAACTTCAATAAAGAACTCATAAGCATAGCCAATAGATGTTATTCTGTAGGATTCTGAAGAGGGGAGAGTAATAATTGTCTCGTTGGTGGAGGAGCAGGACAGATTCGCACTCAATCCTGCTGTCCTGCAACTATTGGAGCTGCTTTCAAGGGTAAAAGGGAATTTGATCTCCATATCTCCACACATGGAGGAAGAACAGTCATTGGAGAGGGCATAGGCTATTGGGAAGATCCCAAGCAGGAGAAGATGGCACCAAGGCATTGCAAAAATGGTGAATTGGAACAGCAACATAGCCCATCTTGCAAATGCAGTTTTTAATCAGTATTTAATTCATTAATTGCAGCTTCGGAACTTGACTATTCCACCGAAAAGACTATACTGGTCAATTGTATTAAGCAGAAGACTTATCACCGCGTTTATGGACCAGGGTAGTTGTTTTTGAAAAATCTAGCGTATTAGGATAATGGAAATAACGACTAGCAAGACTTAGACCCAATTAATGGTCAGCAAGTCAAATCAATTTATGAACAACTAAATTTTTTGTTAAAGTTTTGATGGACTAATGATAAATCTTTTATCGTAAAACTTAAAAATGAAAAATCTATAACTACTCCGTCCATGTGGTGTCAATTAGAGAAAAAAAACAACTATCTCGATCCTAAATTAATTTTGACATTTCACTTTTCTTGCTCTCTGTAACATCCGTCGCTACAAAATTGGTAATAATTTAATCATGTTTAATTCAAAGTTATTATAAATATAAGGAAGTTGTATGGAAGTCAATAATTAAAAGATATATTAAGTATCCAAAAGTCATTCGGAGCGCTACAGCACTGATCTAGATGATGTTGTGGCGTTGAGCCCTCATTTTGGAGGGAAGGAGAATCCTGTAGCGCTAAGTATGGAGAACTGTAGCAATAAACTCTTTGTCTGGGAGTATATAGAATTTTATGACCGATCACAGTGATGCTAAATGTTGGACTGTCATGATGTTGAACACTAAAATTAGTTTTTATACACAAATATCCAAATTCATTTTCTAATTCCACATTGGTTGGTTGGAGAATGAGAGATGGAAGATGATAAAGAAAAAACAGATGGATTTGAAGACAAAAGTGCAAAATTCGTTCTGCGAATTTGTTAATGAAATTGTGAAGCACGAGATAGGCTCCAAATGTCCCATTTCTAATTTCAATTTAAATTTATTTACGAAAGGTTAGGGAATAAAGCATGATTTAAACGTATTTTAGAAAATTTTCATCTTGTAGTTTTTAATATATTATAAAATGCCTCATTCTTATTAGTTTAACTATAAGAAACTATTATTCCCCCATTAGTTTTGTTAGCACAAATTTATGAGTATTTCATGTAGAACATGGCATTTCTGGCATTTGCTACATTTCATTAAAAAATTTAAAATGATATTTTAAAGACTCCTTTTGAATGATTTTTCAAATGACAAATGTCAAATATATATGCAAATTATACAAGTGTTATCCCTTGAAATATAGTATATATAGCAAGGCATACATTTTCAAGTGTTAATATCTGCATATGCATATCATGGCATGCTAAAGTGCTAATATGGGAGAAGTTCAAGTACACTATAAGTTCAATTCTATTGTACTATATCCAAGGGTGTGAAAATTGGACCGAACAATGAACCAGAAGAAAGAATTAATAAATAATAATATTATTAAAATTTTAAAAAAAATTAACATATTAATCTTAAACCTTTGTAGAATAGATTGATTTAACTTTGAATTAAGTGATTTTAACCTCTTTATTCTAAAAAAAACTTCAAAGAAGAAATAACATTCTACAGATAAATAATAGAAGTTATACATGTATATGTGACTTTTTACCACCTGGCAAGGTGCTTTAAGCGTTAGATAGACGAATTTTTAAGAGAGAGACGCTTCGTTTATTACGGGAATAGAAAAATTTTGAATTCCTCTGGCGTGCGGATTTTCTGCTTGGATCCGATGACGTCGGAGGGCCGCCAGCAACCTTCAGCTGGTGTCTCCTTCAACGTTCGGCCGTCTTTCGTTCCTTCCTGGAATGGTTCTCGATTGACACCGATTTCGTCTCCTCCTGCCTTTGGGGATTCGAATGTTGATAGAGATACAAAAATTAAATTCAGAATGGATAGACCCCTGGTGATTAAAGAGGGAGGTTTATCGAAGGAAATAGTTCCACTTAAAGAGGTCGGTAAGGGCGAGAAGATTTTATTTGAAAGTCATGGAAAAAATCAGTCCTTGTTTGTAGATGTCAGGTTTTCAAAAGGCTTTGCTAAATATGAGCTAGGCAATTCGTCTTCTAGTATGGTGAAAGAGGATTCTAGTGATAAATACTCATTGAAAGCAAGGGAGAATGAAGCTATCATTGAAGAAGGGTCTGAGAAGGAGAAACTCAAACCCTGTCCTGTTCCAAGTATGCAGATCATGGAGGCTGAGATAGGAATCTATAAAGCGTATGTTATTTCAGAACTGAACAATGTCAGGAATTGTGAATCTGGTGAACTTGAGAATTGCATATTGTCTACTAATTGCTTAGAGGGTACTAAACAATAGTCTGGTAATGAGTTGAAGAATGCATGAAGTAAGAAAACCAACATCAGAGCAATTGATATAGATCTTGGTGAAGGATTCATTGAAAATTAATCAACAATTAAACTGCACACATGAAATGAGTTGGAGAACTCAAACATACTTAAAAAATTCTTGGTTATCAAGATCTTCGGTGACAGCATTCCTTTCCATATCATTAGTATGGAGTTAAGGAGGCAGTGGGGCATTTTTGGGAAGTTTCATTTGACCTTGCTTGGAATGGGTTGGGTTCTCTGTGCATTTGAGAATCCAGAGGTGATGGACAGGGTTTTTACCACTAGTCCGTGGTATGTGAATGGGAATATAGTGGGAATGGATAGATGGTCTCTATCATTCTCTCCTACTTCCTTCAAAGGTTTGACTGCACCTATATGGATTCTTATGTCGAACCTTCCATTACGAAGCTGGGATGAGATCAATGTATGCATAATTGCTTCCATGGTAGGCACTCCTTATTTAATAGATGGAAACATGTTCCAATGGGGTAGAAGAGAATTTGCAAGAGTTTGTGTTCGTGTAAAGCTTGATGAAAAACCCCCATTGGGAGTTTGGGTTGAAGGGAATTTGGGTAAATTTTTTCAATGCATTGAATATGAAAGACTTCCTACATTCTGCTTCACTTGTGGGAAGTTAGGACACTTGAAAGAAAACTGCCCTAAGAAGGGAGTAGCTCCCATCAAATCTCAAGTAGTTAGTGAAAATCAGAGGGAAAATGTGGGTAATGCTGAATTAGAAACTGATAAAAGAAAATCTCAGAGAGTTGCTGATGTGAGAGAAGGCTATGAACCTTGGGTCCACGTGAACTATGGGAGGATGAATTTAAAGAAATCATATTTCAAAATCTTGGAAAATAAGTAAATAAGAGGAATGCTGTGAAGAATCCTGAAGATTAGTTATTCATGGCTGCTGGAAGGAATAATGAACTGCTAAAGGATAAAACAGATGCTATTGGAAATCCTGAGATAGTTACTATGATGGAAGGAATTATTGCTGAAGTTAAAATGCCGGAAAAAGCTAGACGGGTGGACTAGACCAATAAAGAAGAAAAGAAGATTGAATCAAATGCAAATTCCATCAATCTGGAAAATTAATCCAAGAATTCCACGGGTGTGACTTCGTATGGTGATCTGAATAATGGTATGTATCTCAAGCAAAGTGGTATTTGCTTTACTTATAATAAGTATGAATTTTTAAATACTTTGACTGAGAAAGGTGAGTTGGCAATTGAAACTCCTGGAAAGAGTACTGAGAGAAGAAAGGAGGTGAGATTGTATCAAATTATGTTAAAATTATGAATTCTGAAGGGAGCAGTAAAGAAGATGGAAATATTGGTTCTAAAAAGAAAGGTGCTAAGCAGTTAAAGAGCTTGGGACCAATTAGAACAAAATCTAGAAATAGAAGAGTGGAAGGAGATTCAAGGGAGAAGGTGGGGAAACCTTCCCTTCTAATCCAAAAATGACTTCAATAGTTTTTTGGATTTGTAGAGGAGCCAAGAAAAAGAAGGCTTCTCTATATCTCATGGAGGTGATGAAAGACTATGAGGTACTGTTTTTGGGTCTTTTGGAACCTAAGTTGACTAGCATTGATAGCAGTGATGTCAATTCATTGATTGGTTTTGGTTGGGACCATTTTCATGTCCCTTCGGAAGGGTTGTCTGGGGGTATTATGGTAAGTTGGAGAAGCAGTTTAGCATCTTTCATTATTCTAGAATTCTCTTCCCAATATATCATTGGAGATTTGGAAGTGGCTAACAAAGGCAAATGGAGAATAGCTACTATTTATGGCAACAAAAATGTTTACAATAGAAGATATCTTTGGGAAAGGTTGGAAGCTTATGTTAATGTTGAGTTTCCTATGGTAATAGGTGGTGACTTCAACTGTCTACTTTCCAAGGAAGACAAAAGGGGTGGTAGAAGATTCACCTTTCCTTTGGGTCCTAAAGAGATGAAGAAATTTCTCACATGCAATGACCTCCATGAGGTAAATTATGTTGGGACGAAATTTACTTCGTGTAACAACCAATCAGGTAATGACCGGATCCTAGAAAAGCTAGACATATGCTTTGTGAACTCTTGGGCCATTAATTCTTATCATGGTTTAGTGGTTAAACACCTTCCCAGAATAGCTTGGATCACTGCCCCATTATGCTGAATATCTTCGAAATTTATAATTCAATTAAAAGAACTACTAAATTTGAAGAAATTTGGTCTTCTTTTCCGGATTCGGCAGCTATGGTGAGAAAGGCTTGGGGCATGAAAACTAGTGGAAGCTCATATCAAATTCTCAATCAGAAAATGAAAAGGGTTTTAAGGTCTCTATTTTTTTGGAGTAGAGCAAAATTGACAGACTTGAATCAACAAAAAGAAGTATTGAAGCAAGAAATTTTACAATTACAACTAAAAGAACCAGAGGATGGATTTCTCTCAATTGAAGACATTTGGTGCTTGAAGAACAAAATCAATGAGCTTAATTCAACTTTACTTCGCCTCAACACTTGGTAGAGACAGGAACTCCAATTTTATTTATAGCATAAAGAATGAACATGGAGGGATTGTGGAGGGACAACATCATATTGAGAATGTTTTGCTAAGTTTCTTTAATGGAAAATAGGGAGAAAAAACTTGTTCTCTGGACGGGTGGCCAAAACCGAGAAGAATTCTGGATGAGGAGGACAAAATCTTCTTGAATAAAAGTTTCTCAGTTGATGAAGTGGACAAGGTGATAAAAGAATATGTGGGATTCATTGC